CGATGGATATGTAGGTACTTTTCACAATCAGCCGGAAAGGAGATACTAGTGTGTGCAACTCCCCGGTTATCCTTCAGCTCTAGATTCCCCTCCGGGTCACCTACATTCGTCACCGTGTTGTTCTAGCTACTGTGCCTTCATACGAACAATTACTTTTGTTGGATTTATCAAACCTGACAACTTAGTTGACTGTTTTTATTATTATTATTATTATTATTATTATTATTATTATTATTATTATTATTATTATTATTATTATGCCATATCCCTTGTCATTTCATTAATATTTTTTTCTTGTTGGTTCATCTAAAATAATTTTCTGGAGAAATGTTTAAGCCTTAAGAAACACTTACGCTGGATTGATTGATTGCTTGACTAGTGTTTTCGTGCGCGTCAACGGCGAAGGTCATCAGTCCCTTAAGTGCAGTACATGTTTTGTCGCGTTGGCTGGCGGGATCCGGCCTCGAACTACACGTTGGCTAGTGAGCTTTTTCCAAACGGGTATCTCCCAGCAGCGGGACAGCGCCTAGGCCGGGACCAGCTCTAAGCTCCCGGCTGGTTTGACGTCATGTGTGAGTGTGTGTTAATGTAAGGGGTGTGGAAAAGACAAAGAAGCGGAAGGAAGGATCGCGTGCGATCCCTGGCCCGTTTGTTGGGGTACTGCTCCAGCATTCTCCTGGTGTAGGTGGAAGAAGACAGCTGCTGTCGGACGTGGCCGAGGCTCGCTGGATTTGGGTGGGTGTGGGGGGCCTTGGCCACGGCCGCGGCAGAGCAGCGCGTCCTCAGGGCCCCGCGCTCGCCTCCGCCGCAAATGTCAGACACGAGACGCCGCTTCACCAGCACATGTTGCAGGCGCAGCCTTCTCCTCCTCTTCCTTCGTCTACTTCTTCTTCTACTTCTTTCTCTTCGTCTTGGCTTGTCAGGCGTAAGAGCTCCTCCCATTTCATCGTCTCTTCCTCGGCCTTCCCACACTTATTTTGCCAAGTGTATTATATTTCATTGTTGGTTTAAGAAACCTTTTTGACGGCCTAAAAGAGATACGCTTTCCTCATTGTTCTTCACTAAGGATCGTCTCTTTAGATAATGATTGCATCCCTAGTTTACTCCTGAACGCTCCGTTTAGGATTTTGTCTTCATCGGTGCAAACTTGAACTGACCTAAGATATTTCAATTCTGACACTTCTAGTGTAGGTGGTAGGTTTTTTTTGTACTGAGCGTCCAGGATTCCGCTTGGTATAGTGAAAGAGTATGATACAACCTAGTAAAACTTCAATTGCATTTCAATTTTCGCTCTTATCTGGGCAGCCAATGGGAAAGTGCGGAGACAGTCCGTTGGGGTCGGGGATCAAATCCAGGCGATCTCAGAAGAAGGAGATAGCTGGGGTAACTTAATTGGGCTCCCGATTAATTGGGACTCCGAAATATTTTTAAAATCCAAAACAAATAAAAATGTATTTTCTTCTAATTCAAATTAACCTCTGTAAGTTATTTCCATCGTTTGCAGAAAAGAATTCTATTTATATACGAGGGATTGAAACTTTTATTTTAAATAAGGGGCCTTGTGCATGTACTGGCCCGTTTGCCGTGGCTCTCTTTCCTCCGTCATCATTCCTATGATATCGTCATCGCCACCATTCCATTAAATTATTCTCTTTTTAGACGCTGCAACAAGGTTTGGCTTAATAATGAAGTACCGTCACTGTATACCGCAGTGACCTTCATTGACCCTGAAGCGCATGACATTGATAACTAACTCTAAAGGTGCTGGAGTGGTGTAATTTATTGCTCTGAGGTGAATGTCTTCACGTATAGTACAAGTATAGGGAAGTTCCACAGGTTTAATAACTGTAGCTGGATGCAGCTCGTAGAAATGTTGGAGTTTTACAATGCAGATTTATTTATAATACAAGTTTAGAAAAAATAGAATTGATATGGTCGAAATGAATACAATTTTGATATCAAGAGTTTGTAACAACATCTCGTGGCGGTTCGGATGACCGTGATCGTTAAGGCAGTAGTGCCGTAGCGATCTCGGACCGAAGGATCGTGGGTTCGAGTACCGCCTCGGGCATGGTTGTATTTGTGTTCGTCCTTCCACTGTCTGTCATCACCACATCATGTCACTTTCACAGTTACCATACCGTTAAACGCAGTAGTGGTCGCTAATGACCTAGATGTTAATGCTACCTTAAATAACAACAACAGCAAAACCTCTCGTGGCCGAATGCTACCCTTTGTAGGTGATTCCACACTTTCACAAACCACATGTTTACCACATTTCTTGCGTCATTCATGACTGGAAAGAAAAGTCTTTTGAGTACAATGATATAGGAACCCAAATTTCTATTGACAGAATATTTCCCACGCTCAGGAAACGTCTCCCTATGTCGACGGAAAACTCACAATGTCGACGGAATCAATCATTCCGTTGACCTTAGACTGTCATCAGAATAAAATATTCCGTTGACCTTATAATGTCATCGAAGTGAAATATTCCATTGACCTGCATTTTCCTTCATCAGTAACTGTTTTCGAGAACATTTTTTACAGAGCAATGATGTAACTATTGGGATTCCTTCATAACATAAACATTCGAGCTCGTGGGGAACATAAATTCAAAAATATTATTTTCGATTGTCTTTCAGAACATTTTCGCGACGATGGAGATGTTCAAACAAATAAAAAACACTGTTCTTGGAATCTTTCTCCCCTGTGCATTCTAAAATGAGAGAAAATTGAATAAGAGTCTCTCCAAACTTTGATCTTCCACCAGTGTGAGGGATGTTGTGTGATTGTTTAAACTTCTGCTTGACTTTGTTAGTATGTGAACTGCTGCCATTTTGGGAGTACAGGTAATTCTAGTAACTTTTTTTTTTTAATTTATTTCTTCTCGTTCGACCAAAGGTCTTTCGAGGGGGTTCGTTTTACATACTGACATTTTGGGATTTGGGCATTCCTGACAAATTGAGATTTGATACTCTGACGCGTTTAACTTCGTTGGTTTGCTTGTAGAAGCAGCTGGATTTATTTTTGATTTTTTTTTTTTAGAAGAGGGGGGTAGGTTGTTAGGAATTGCCCTATCGCAGCAATAGGAAGGGCAACGTGAAGATTCTATTTAGATACGGATGATATTATTGTTTAGGAAGTTTTAAGCATGTCTTTGGGAAATTTGGATTTGATTCGGCTTGGGATGTTTGCTGTTCGACCTAGGTGAAATTTCAATTCTAGTAACTGAATTAGCGACCAAATAACATGGGATAACAATTCAAAGCCTTATTCGTCAATTAATTCATATAAGGATATAGAATAATGATTGCGGAGGTCATTCAAAAACAATGAAGATTACTCCCTTAATGGTCACTCTTATAACCATTAATTGTGCAGTTCAGAGAGGACAATGATCGACTATCCCAATTACATTCGAGATCTGACTCCAACGATTACGTGATTCTTTCAAAAAAAAGGTGCGAGTAGCTTCCCAGACATTACCAATGAATGAGAAGATAATGGATGGAGTCAACAACTACTTGGTTCGGAGGCCTTTGAAGTGGACGGAAAAAGTCGGTCCCACGGGAAGACAAATGCGTGAATGGGAAAGACGATTACATTGAGGAGGAATTCACGTACACAAGAAATTTTGTATGCAATGATATGCTTGTACCAGGCTTTTTTCATGTTTTCGCTACCGAAACGGAAGTTGATAGACTTCACTCTTTAGAACACAGAAAATGTCGATCACTTCACTGAAATTCACGGATTATAATTTTTGCTAATTTTTCAAAAAAAAAAAAAAAATCATAATGTACTTAGACTTCCCAGAAGCAAAATATATAGCCACTTTTGTAATACTTCAAGCATCTTCGGATCTTTATACTCATACTTATCGCTTCGTTCCAGGTCATTTGATGATAAGTCCTCAAGTTTAATTAATTATTTTCGAGAAAATTATCGAACTCTTGCCCTATTACTGTGTGTGATACATGCAATGATAGGGGAAGAGTTTTTAGAAACGACACAATTCAAAACACTTGAAAACATTTTGAAACCCACTTCTCCTTTCTCTTTCATCTACAAAGAGGATTTGGAAAGAACCATCATCTGTTCTCAATGGACGTCAGAGTTGTGAATATGTAATGAAATTGATTGAAAGCTGTAGCGGGAACGATAATCAAGAGCATTCTATTGCTACTTACGGAGGAAGATCAAAATGGTCTTTTGAAATGGAAATTTCGACGATTGTTTTACTACTCAATAGTGCGTGCACGTTCAAAGCTGCGAAGGGAAGTAAGAACGAATCAGAAGGGACCGGAAGTGCGATGTACAAGTTAGTTTGCTGTGTGACTGTCTTCGACTGGACAAATAATTGCGTGTAATTACATGCCTGCTTGCAGATATTTGAATTTCATCCACTCGCATGGATGGCGTACAATCTCCATGATAGAGCCGTTTGAGTATTGTCGGCTTTGACCCTCGCCTGTGCAATGAATCCGACGTAACGTGGTCGGTCGCCAGATTTTGCGACAAAAAAGACCAAGTACATGTAACGTAAGACTACTCACTTAGGACAGACAAACATAAGCCGCATTAGAGCGATTCAGAATAGATTTCCTTCCCGCTCCTTCCTGTACACCTTCTCCTTCTTACCCCCTCGTGAGGATTAATGGTAGCGCAGAGTGGTTTCTGCCGTAGTCACGTACGGAACACAGATCTGCTCAGAGCACTGCTTCACACATTCCGCCGTTTAGCTCACGAAAATCTTGTCTTCGGAGATTATTCCGGAATGTTGGCAACGTGATCGGCGTCGTCGCAACTGAACCAAAACGAAACCTCCAGATAACACTCTGAGGTTCGCTCTCGTGCCTTGTACCTTGCAGTTTTCGCGCCAACGCGGGGCAGTGTTTGTGTGCGCCTCAAGCGGAGGCGACGAAAACATTCGGTCGGGGGGGTCGACGCCGCGCGGCGCGGGCCAAACGGATTTCATGTTATGAACCGCTGATAAGCGGCCAACGACAGCGGCCCTGCGCCGACGCACAAGGAAGCGCCATCGAGGAGGCGGAGGCGGTGCCAAAGTCGCGGCGGAAGATCTGGTGTCTGGGCAGCGGGGGTCTTCGCCCAAGACGACGACTGTGGAGGTGGTGGTAGTGGTAGTGACAGTGACAGTGACTGTGTTGGTGGTGGTGATGGTGACGGCGGAGGGGGTGGTGACGTCGCTGGCGGCGGTGGCGGTGGCGACGGTGTTGGCGGCGGCGTCGCATTGGGGAAACGGTCTCGCCCCAATTGCTCGCTTGGCGACGGCGCCGGGCGCGGGGCGTGAGGGCGCGGGAAATGGAGCGGAGGAGCGGCGTCGCGCCCGCGGCCCCCGCCCCCGCCCCCGCGACCCCTCACCGCGGAGGCCACTGTCGCTCGCGACCGCCCCGCGCTACGGAACTTTCAGTAAACAAAGGGGGCGCGGCGGGGAGAACGAGTGAGTACAGCGTTGCGGGACGGGGTAGGGAAAGGCTTATCTCCGATAATACAGAGTCGAATGAAGTTATTAGTTCATTATTAATTATCTTAACTTATTGTTACGCAGGTTTTCAAAGGATTTCCACTGAATTAACCAAATATTTGTTGTTGTTGTTGTTGTTGTTTGCGTTTAACTGGTTTCAAATGTTTGCTAACTCTGCAATTGTAACATTCTATCAGCATCGTGTGATGACGCACTAAAATATCAACAAAATATATTCCGTGAATCATTTTTTTCTCTGTGTGAAACGCAACCGGAATTCTGTAGTCTGATATTGATTCCCGAAAACAATAGAAATGTTGTGTGTACGGGATGTATTCCTTTTAATGTAATTGTGCGATGTATAATTATAATTGAAGCGATTGTAACATGGAAAATTTTCCCGAAAGGGGAGAGTGCTGTGAGAGTTCATAATCACAACCACGTCAATCATGTCGACGGGTTATTAATCTGTTTCTCTGACAGTATTACACTGAGGGTGGATATACATTAATATCATGATATATTGATGACGATATCATTATTGGAAATATTGGGGATAAGGGGGGAAATCTCTACTAAAACCAACGCAAACTCCATAACGGCTCGCCGGATTTGAATGTAGGGTCCTTTAAGAAGAGCGTGGCTGAGATGGTTACTACGACATACATCGCCCTCTTGAATATGGAACTGATGATTGATGACAGAAAAGACACTACAGTAGATCATTAAAGACACATAGGCAAAGATTGATAGATCTATTCTAAGGAGACGAAAGGGGCCAGAGACGTCAATCTCTGACAAAGGCGACGATTATTATGGTCAACTGTAGAATAAAATGTTCATGGAAATGAAGCAATCCTATTAAAGTATTTCGTTGACTCTTTTGTCTTTGCATATTGTCCTTGGAATGAGCAGTAGTTGAATAATTCTCTGATATAAATTATATTATTGCATTTATACCATTACATAGCATTTATGCGCCGATTATGAAGCAACGTAATTACAAACCATATGTTTGTTACAACTGAATGCTGTTGTTTCTATGTAACTGTAGTTTACACAGCGCGTCAGGAGTGCTGCTCTCAGCAGTGACACCTTCTTGGTGCGAGTGCTTGCAACAAAAACTATGTTGGTAGCGCAAGATAGGGCTTGTAACAAAACACAACGTAAATACAATCATGGCTGCACAAGTTTATGCATTTGCATATTTCTATTGATTGCGCACATCGAAAAGAAAGGTATATAAATTTACCTATCTCCGGAAATAAAACAAATCTAGCCCATTTTAATTTTGCATATTTGCATATTTCTTAGAATTTTTCTATTTAGATATATCTTAGGTTTTTGTGTAGAAGTGGGACGAAGTAAGATATTTTCGTATATTTCTTTCAAAAGAAAAGTGACTTAAACCATACCAATGCTAAACACCAACATCATATTTCTGATAGTCTTCTGATAAGATTGTTTTCGCTTGGATCGGTTTACATCCTATAACTTAATTCGTGCGCTCAGTCAAGAACTCAGTGAACTGTGCTGACTGTTATGGCTTCTTGTAACAATGTTATTGGTTCTCTCGGTTAACATTTTTTATTATAATGTTTAAAGATTATATTTTTATTGTGCGTGTTTTGTGTTACAGTGTAAAATGAATATTACCTATAAATAAATGTTAACTGTTGCTGACTACATTTTTGTTTATCGCATATTCTTAGTTTTAAGCTCATATATTGACTATTTTAAGTGCATATATTGCGAATTTTAAGTGTATTGTTGCACACATGTTTTTTTTAACTATTTTAGTGCATGAAGTTCCGGGGTCTAATCATAACAGATGCTGGAAGTGTTGTCCCTGTCACTTTTTCCCAGCGATCTGTTTGCTACCACCACAAATGCAATTTTTAATGGGAGAGTCCTGTCTCGGCTCAGTGCGGAGAGTCTTTTCTGGCGCGCTATATAATGTTTTAAGAGTTTTTTGCAGTTTGGATTGTGAAGTTGCAGTTTTAGCCATGGTGATAAACTTCATTTGTATCTATCATTACTTCAAGTTGTGGCTTCGTGGGATTTGTTAAGGTTATTTTTCTAAAAGATACCCAGTGGTTTCTGAACAATTGCTTTCAGTAATTACGTGTACTGAAATGTTTCAGTACTTTCCAGTTTAGAATGATCATTTACCCAAATTCTGTGGCTTCGCCTCTCTTCCGTTGCAGGGGCGCGGCGCCAGCGGACGAGAAGGGGGCGCTGGACAAACACAAGATCAAGGCTCTGCGCGTCGCTCTCCCGCAGGTGAGCCCTTGGAGCGCGGCTGGCGCTCGCGGGACACCCCTCGCTTCAGGGGTCGTCACAGTTCAGCGGGCGCGCCGGCCAGGTCCGGCCCCTGGTGGGGCTTCCTCTGGCCCTCGTTACTTCGAAATCGTGGTATCCGGAAGAGGAGGGGTGAGAGATTTAGGGGAGGTTGTGCTGAAGAGATTGGCTGAAAGGGAGGAGATGGTTGTGAGAGTTGTGAAAAGCGCAGCAGTTTCTAGAACCAGACGTAAAGACCGGGCTCTCAACGCGAATGATTTAAGACACGGAGAGGATGAGGCCAATCTGTGTGGCCTTCTGTCATTCGAAACTTTTGTGATTAAATGCTTTCTGTGTCATCTGGACAATATTCCGTGCGTGAATGCGCAGATTCAATCAATCCCGAATATTAAATCTTACTTGAAAAGTCTCTATCACGCTTTGGGAAACATTTCTGAGTAATTTCCCAATAAGAAAGAGTCTGATAATAAAGGGACTAAATTTTGTTTAAAACAATTAGACTCTTTAAATTTGTTGAATTGTTTGGAAAAGTGCCATCTTAAACAAAATGTTATGTACCATCTATCTTTTCCAAAAAAATAACGTTTTTCGATAGCAATTACTTCGTAAGTACAATTGCTCCATATCGGTTCTTTTCAAAGGATTGATTCTTTATCTTCAAAAGTTTAGAGAACCCAATTTCATTTCGTGTACGTGGATGTGTATAATAATGTACTTCTGCTTTTAATATTAGTGAAGTGGGAAAATCCAAGTAAAATAGTACCCGCAAATATATTTTTTCTACCTCCCTTCATGAGATAATAGTAATACTTGTTGAAAAATCTCCGTCAAAGCTTGTTAAAAATCACGGCCAAAGTTTGCTATTTTAATCACTTTTATATAAATTAGTATATTCGTTTATCACAATATAAATTAATTAACACGAGAACTCTTTTCTTATGTGCAGATACCATTCGCTAAAGTTTCCATTTCTTTCTATTGTATTCAGATATGAAATTTTGAGATATAAAGTAGTTCTGAAATTATGTTCTGAGTGCACTGTCATACATAATTCGACCCCCAGGTATCGCATGTACCTCCACACTTGCTGTTTCGTTGTTCTTGTATTCCGTCGTTCAATGCCTCGATTGCAACGCCTGTTACTGTAAAAACTACAAACCCAGAGAATAACGGCGTAAATTATCTCATTTGTATTACCAGGAAGGTTCGTACAACACAATCAAGTTAATTAAGAAAATACGTATGCTTGAGAGCGGTTGAGTTCCGTCTTGAAGTGTAGGTCAATATCCGCGAATCTCTAAGTTGCTATAATCTTCCAATATACCAAAAACATACTCAAGTGAAGTATTTTGAAAGCACAATACAAAAATGTAAATTTAAAGAAAGTATTTTATAGTGATCTTAAATATAGTAAAATGTGTGAATCTAATTGAACGTACTTTTAACTTCGATCGCTCAACCAATTTGTCTAAAATACTTTTATAGAGAAAATCATTTACGTTTAAAGAATATTCCTTGATAAATTATGATATTTTAAATTTTTGTTGAATTAAATGGAAAATGTTTAATGATTGATTAATTTATTGAATTGTATGATTAATTTTCTATTTGTCCTGTTTGTTTTGTTGGTTATTCAACGTATAAAGAAGCATATACTCATCCTTTAACATTGTTTCAAAATATGTGATTACGCAATCTCACTCATATGAACATTTTGACCATAGCACGTACTTTTTTCTGGCACATATGTGCCGAAGACATCTTCGACATTTCTTGTAACGTAAGTTACACGGAGAGCAGATACGAACATGAGAATAGATTCGTCCCTGAAGTGTCTCTGAGCACATTCTTCTGTCGTGGTGTTCCTTTCGTTAGGCGTTCCAGACTCTTTTGTGCTGTCGACAAAATCAAACTCCGACCGGAAAGATTAAAAAAGGTCCCATTTGTCAGAGTTTCTTTTCAGTCTCATAAATGATTATTAACATTTTTATTTTAATACATCGAAGATTTTATTTTGCTTACAACTTGGTAGACCGATCGGTTATGTATGAATTCCTAAGATGAGAGTGTCAGTGGCGTTTTCTCGTGGTAAGTAAAGGAGGGAAGAACTCCGTTCAATCTGCTGATCTCTCACAGCGAATTTACTTACTGGCCTATGGGAAATGTACTAAAAATCCTTCTTTCTCGGGAAATTATTCTTTTGAAAGAAATAATTTGGTATGAACAGTGTAAAAGACGTGATTCTTCGTAGAAAAGTGCCAAAATTTTTTTTTTTCGTGAAGCCGGTTCGCCCCAGGCTTTTGAGAGCCCGTGGTTCGCGCAGACATCGCAGCCTGCCTCACCGATAGGGCAGCGTAAGAAGGCAATCATAGGTCAGTACCACCTAATCCTCGAAGCACAATGCGGGTACCTACATCAGATTCGAACGACATTAATAGCAAGATTTTCCAGTAAAATTGTACACAATGTAAAATGAGGGAGATTGTTGAAGTACGTGCAGAAAGTATTCTACTTTAAATAAATTCAACGCTTGCAACAGTTCGTAGTCCACAATGAGTGTGAATAAAGATGTAATTAAATCTCAAAGGACAGGTTTTCATATTATTAAAATATAAACATTGTGTTTATTTGTGTTCATAATATTTATCTGACTGAAGACTCTATCTTCAGCGTAGTACAACAATACCCTGCTAACGTGGATCACTCTTGGCACTTAATCTGTTGACAGCCATTCATCTTAAGAAAAGGATGGGAAAAAGAATTCCTGAAAGCTAGCACTAGAGCTGTGTAAAGAGTATTAAAACCAATTATTTTGTATTTTGTCTATTATTTTTATTATCAATAGATGTGCTTTAATTTGAACGATGTCAAAACTCTCCAAGATAGGTGCTACAAATCCCGACTTCTCCAAAGAGCCCGGACAATTAAGTACACATAGAATGGAATGAATTAAAACAGTAGTTCTATAAAGATTTTAAAAAATATTATGAAAATAAAAACGAAATTATTACGAAATTAACAATTTTTTTGACAGTAACAAATTTCCTTTATTTTGGAAGATACTTACATGCATTTTTTTATTAATGATAAATGCAAAAAATTTGAAGCCTACTTTGTAAAATGTAATCTAGTTCATTTATTTTAAAACTCTTTCTTATTAAAATGTTACTTAGATAAGTTTTCGTCATATGGATTTTGAAATACGGTTTATTGTTCGAAAATGATGGAAACTCTTCATTCACGCACGAATGCTTCTCGAGATGTATCGGAATGCTTTTGATGCAAAAAAGATTTGCACGAAGAAAGACGATAATCATCATGGATGTCTAAATTCCCTCTGCGGCTGAATTATCAACGCTCGTACCCCGTCATTACGTCTAGTGATACGCCCCAGTTTCCTCAATGTCCGCGACCAACTCCTCCCACCCAGGCCCTCTCCCACCGGTCGATGTGGCTCAGGGCATCAGTTGGCGTCCCTGCAGTGCCCCTAAGTGGAAGGTGCTTAGGGTCAAGTTCCAACGGGGACAGGAGTTGCGACCCTAGCTACATAACTACGTTCAGACCCTTTCTGGAGGAAAATTCTAGCGGCCGGCAGCTCTGATAGGTAGTTTTCCGTGGTTTCTACGATCAATGCCGGAGCAGTATTCTAATAAAAGTGCCACGGACTGCGTACGATCTTTGCTTTCTCTTCTTTGTCCTATCCTCGCCCCTTACTTACACACTCTTACACTTCCGTGCACTACACTTCTACACCTTCCGGGTGACTAGTCGCGAGCTCAGAGCCTGCCTTTGTGGGGTCGGTGGCTCGCTGGGGGAGATACTTGAATGAGGGAAATCTCGCTAGGAGGCGTGCAGGTCGGCGCCGGATTTCGCCCTCCTGCGGGGAAGAGCACCGCCAACTCCCGTGAAAAAACATTTACTATACTTAGGCGACAAATGAGTATGGCACCCGGAAACACGAAACGATCAATGGCACAATCAATCCAAATCATCTCTTCAACATAGCAGCTCACTGTCTATCGTTCACTTGAAGTTTGGAAGTAACGTGGGATAGATTAAACCTCCTCTGGGGTTGGACCGGCCCACAGACCGTTGTGTGGGGACCTCTTCTTTACCGCCTACTATTATAATATTTTTTATCTATAATAAAAAAGTTGGGTTGAAATATAAAGCGTTTTATCTCAATTTATGGCTTTTTTCTTTCAAGAAATGCTGATTTTGGTAGAAGTGAATTTTTAACATTTAATAACCTCCAAAATTGTCGCCGTTTTAACAGGAATATGAGGAAAAGTCATTTACTTCATGGTACACATTCTTTCTTGTATGGTTACGTGGAAGTAATGTTGTATGTTTTTTTGTTCCCCGAAATATTTTTAACGCATGACCAGCCACTCACGTAGCACCAGGGCGGAGTTTGATGGAGAGTCGCACGATGATGCAAAAAGGGATGGAAGGTACTGTTGGAAATCCCGTCGCCCCCTCCGCGAATCTACTGCAGCAAGTCGTCGGTAAATAAGCGTCAAGCCTACTTCGTGACTAAATAAGCATCATTAACTTCGAACAACAAAGAATGGAGTATAAACTTCACTGCCGTATCTCTATTATCGTGAGTAACGTCAAGAAACACCATTATTCTTTCAAAAGACTCCACTGAGTAGTTAGCATTGTTTGTCAATTCTCTCGTATTTTATGTAACATGAGTTCTAACGAGCTTCAGTGCTTTTAAATGGCTCACAAATTGACAATGGTTCGCAAATTGCATAATGTGATTTCATTGACACTAATTTTCTCAGAAATATTAAAAAAGATTCTCAACCATTCAGGAAACATAGTAGCAGAAATGGATGCATGCAAGTACGAATGTTTTGTATTAATAAAGGATATCCCTTTACGTTCGTGAAATTTTGCAATATGTTGTATCTCTGATGATAAAGAGATATAAAAATTATAATATTTGGAGTTTTGAAATGCTTTCCTTCATT